TGTCACTTTTTCTCAGCACTTTGAAAAGCCATGTGTCTTTTTTAAGGAATAGCATTTTTGAAGGCAAGGAATACTACAGAAAATATATTGATGACTAAAAATAAAAGACACAGCATACAGAGCTGATAGTTATAATTGCTTCTCAGAGCACTGGTTCTACAATTCTGCTTGCCTATGGCCAGCTTCACTCGTTTATAAAACTGGCAAGCTCCATGATAAAATAGCTGACAGTAACTTAAAGAAGAGGTTTACATGGCCCATGGCTTCATAGTACAGTCCATCACCACATGGGATGTACCATAGCTTGGACTGTTCTTCACATCTGGCAGATCAGGGAGCAGAACTGCCAGAACCAGAAACCAGTGTCACCCTGAAGGCCTTCCGCAGTGGTCCAGTCCACTTCTGTTTAAAGGTGCCATTGTCTCCCAAAACAACACTGCCAGCCAGAGACCAGTTGTCCAAACCCATGATGAGCCAGTGGGAGACATTTCACATTCCAGCCATGGCATTTCACATGCCTAAAATCAAGTGTATTGGTTCTCTTTAGAGAAGGCCATACTTGTCCACCTAGACCTACCAGTTCTTTTCTTATATGATTGGAAGCTCCTTATCCCTGTTTATCCAGGGATACATTAGAGTGCATTGTTCCACTTCTGGATTGCTGGACTGTAGTAGAGATCTACTATTATTCATTAACAGCCTGATACAGTCTATTTCTCCCCTGACAAATTCAACTAGTTCTCTGTTGGTTTTGCCTCCTGGACTGCAATATTCTCAAGTATTTTATTCTTCCCAATGAGAGTGTAGTACTTTAGGAATATTCTAGATTGATAGTTCATTTAAAAGGGAGGATCTAATTCAATTTTATGGATTTATGATGTAAATTATACCTTACTAATAGATGCTTTTACAGTGATTAACCTGCATGTCATCACCTGCCCCCACAAGGAATAATTATTATAGGGATGTTCTAGGAAGAGAATAAATAAGACTTAAAAGAATAAAAAAGAGTAGAAACTATCTTGTAAGATTTGTGAGTTGAACAGTTAGCATTGTTTTCCTGGTGCATGAAAGGGGGAGTGTGACATTGTGAAACAGTGTCATCTAGCTGACGGGAGTTAGCCTGTCACAAAGTTCCTCAGTACAGCATAACGGTTGGATTCTTGAGAATGTTCAGTGTGCACTGTGATCACTGATGTACCTAGTGAAAGGGAAAGGATCGGTTCAGGACCCCGAGACCCAGTTCTCAGCACAAAGGAGACTGATTGACCCCAGGAGGACAGTGGGCAGGAATAAGAGACAAAGACAGGATAGAGGAAGAGACAGACACGCACACAGGAGCATGGCAGTTTATAACACTGTTAGGTTTGGGTGTTGAATTTTTATTGGGCGTGTTAATTAGGTGAGCCAAAGGGAGCTTTTGATTCCTGAATCTTGGTCGTCAGCCTCAGGAGGAGGAAGTGGCAAAATCAGGGACTGGACCTTGGTGGCTGGCTTCAGGAATGAAATCTAATGTTTTTTTTTAGCACGGCGGAGGGCATGGGAGAGAAGGACAAAGCCTGCCAGAGCCATGTTTGCCATGCTCAGGCTGACCAGAGTTCCTTCACCTAGGAGAACTAGGTAGCCTTATTTTTCTCTAAAGGTAACACCAAATACAGTTGACATTAATGTAATATTTAGAGTGACAATAATAAGACACTTGAATTGCTAATGGCTGGAAATGTCAGGATTTCCACTCTTTAGAGATTGATTTTTACTTGATGTGTATGTTTTTTTGTGTATGTATGCATACCATGCATGCATGTATGCGCGCGCGCACGCGCGTGTGTGTGTGTGTGTGTGTGTGTGTGTGTGTGTGTGTGTGTGTGCGCGCGCGCGCGCGATCTAAGTTATCTAAGGAGTCCAGAAGAGGACCCCAGGACCTGGGGGTACAGTAGCTTTGCACTACCATGTGTGTGCTAGGAACTGAGCCTGGGTCCTCTGCAAGAGCTGAATCATCTCCCCAGCCCCAGGATTTCCTCTTTAAATTTATTGCAATAGTATTTTTGTATATTCATTTGTGTTAAATTTTGAGGTAAAAGTAATGACAATACAAAACATAGTATATGAATGTGACAAAGCTGTAATTTAATGGAGAGACCCAGAGCTTTATAAAGCCCTGTAATGACCGTTTCTTAGCTACATTTTCTGTTTTAGAGAGTTTGAAATGACTCACTATTTATTAGACATTAACCTGATCAAACATATTCCAGCCATGCCATACCTTTCAGCTTTTTCTTTCCATATTTGGGTATAACTGAGAAAGATAAAGAAATAATTATTTCCCTTACTTTCACATTGTATCTTTACCCTTACGTATCAAGTAGAGTTGATCCTGGCCAGTAAGCTTAGAGGCAGTACGCCATTTCTTAAGGATGTATGTCAGAAGATGATATGCAGGTCACACTGATTTGATAATATGCATTATATCAGCTATCTAGATGTCACACTGTATCAATGTACATTATTATGCGTCAGTAAAAACCCTAAGTTATTGTTCACTCCTCAGCGTTTATTCTTGGTGTCCAGTAGTAATGTAGTAGCTACACCGTGGGGCTCACACCCATGCTTCCCTTTACTAGTGCTGTTTCTAGCTTAGATGGGGAAACATGAAATCAACACTATCCCTTCTTTCCTAACACTCAGTGTGTTTCTTAAACTTTGTACAAGCACGTACCTAGATTTAAGAGTCTGTATTTTTTTGTTTTTATTTTGTCTTGGATTCCGCTCTTTTAATCTGTTTTCATTGCTGTTATAAAATATCATAGAAATACTGTACAGTGGGAACCTTACACATAATAAATTTGTTTCCTCCACCTTTGACATTTGGGAACTACAAGTCAAGGTGCTGGCAGTGAGGGATGTCTGGTGAGGGTTCCTTTTTTGTGTGCTGCGACTTTCTGTGGTGGTGAAAGGGCCGTCATGGCTCCCTGGAGCCTTCATCTGGGCTCTGTCCTTGGGGCCTAATCATCACCTCACATACTAGTTCTAGTCATGTTTGGGATTATGTCTCAGTACAAAAATCTGAGGAGACACAACATTCAGACCATAGCACTCACCCACGGAATATTGGCTACATGTAGTCAGGAATTTTATTTCTTGCTTAAAAAGAGTATCTTTGGTTAGAAGTGATGAGGGCACACCTTGATTTTACTCTCCAGACAGTCTGAAGTCCATTGCTGCTTCTTTATTTTGGACATTTTTACTTATTTGTTTATTTTCTCTTCCTCAGTTTATTTTTCTGTGGCATTTTTAAAAAGAATGCCTTTCTTCCTGGTCTATTCAAGGAGCTAACAATCACTTTCTTGTCTGGTAGAACCTTTTTGCTTTAGGCTGGTATCTTCCTTAAGTTTGTTTCCCCAGTGCCCTGTTTCTCACAGATAACCAAGACTCCTGAACTTCCTTCCGGGTGCCATCTGTGCAGCATTCTTCATTCCGCTGATGCTCTCAGCAGTCTGGAACTTTCTACTGTAACAGTCTCAGGATTCCCTACATGTCTTATGTTTCTTGAAGCTTCTTTTTAGAAAGGTCTCTAGGTCTCTTGTCTAACAGTTTCCTCTGAGATTGAAACAGTCTGTCCTGTAGGGAAGCTCCTTAAACAGGAAGGTAAACAACTCAAAAGAACTAGTGGATCTAGTCAGCTTCAGGGATTTCCTGACTAGTTCTAGTCATATTTGGGATTATGTCTCAGTACAAAAATCTGAGGAGACACAACATTCAGACCATAGCACTCACCCACGGAATATTGGCTACATGTAGTCAGGAATTTTATTTCCTTTTTGCGTGTTATACTGTGCTCACATACATGCACATACACCATGGGCTGGGATCTACAAATGAAGGAAAGCTTGTTTGTTTTTTGTTTTTTCTTTCTGAAGTCACAGGAGGATGTCTAGTGTTCTCAGCATTGCATCCCGCTCCCCCCCCACAATTGTGTAATCTCCCCCCCCATACACAATTGTGTAATCTTGATTAATGCTATACATTCCAAGCTCTTTGGTTTTTTTTTTTAATAGGATTTTCTAGTCAATGGGTTTTTTTTAAAATAAAATTTTCTAGTCAATAAAGATACCATCATTTATAAACCACAGGTTAAAGTATGATTTTGTTTTGCCCATATTTCTTCACTTCCTGTCTTCCTCCTCCTCCTTTACCTTTCTTTCTTTTTGAGGAACTTAGAGATTGTGTTCTCTGAATCTTGTCTCAGTTGCCCAAACTCTGTCAAAGTTGGGGGGGTTTTTGATCCGGGTTGATAGGGTACTTGCTCATTCTAGATCCAAAGGAAAAGCCAGGCATGTACCCTGAAATAAGTCCTGCAGTAGGTTTTTAATAAGTACCTTTAAAATGTGGAAGTCAGAAAATCTCAGAGTTGAGCATATTCCAGCATCAGAAATGCATAGGGAGATTGTAAGCAGAGACAGAGGATCTCAGTGATTTCAGTAATGAGTTTGAGAGTACACATACAGTCAGTGACTGAATTAAAGAGCCTAGAGAAGGAACAAGCAGATTTTACTATGGAGACTTACCTCTTGTGCTCAGGAGGAAGAACAGGCTAAAACACCTTCTTGGGGCCTGGGAGTGCCTTAGCTTATACCTGGCATGTGTGAGGCCATGTGCTTCAGCCTCAGCACTGATAACAGCAGAAACTAGAGTATGAACTTTTGTGTTAAATGTCTAAGATTCATGTTTATTATCATATGTGCCTTCTTATTTCCATAGACATACATTTTAAATAATGTCATGTGTTCCTTTATATATAGTTTACATCTTGGACTTAAAATTTTAACTGTTATGATTGTTTGCTCTATTTTGTTGAGCAGGCATGAAAATCTATATTTTACAGATGAGAAATTTTATACTTGAAATCTTCATAAAATATATTCTCATAACATGCTATTCTTTTTATAAAAATGTGTATCTTTAAGTTATAATAAAAGCCTTTCTCTTTACTGTGCATACAGGAAACCTCGACCTGTCTCCCAGCTGGTCGCACAGCAGGTTACTCAGCAGTTTGTGCCCCCTACCCAGTCAAAGAAAGAAAAGAAAGACAAAGTAGAAAAAGAAAAAAGTGAAAAGGAAGCAACTAGCAAAAAGAACTGTCACAAAAAAACCAGGTAAGAACATGTTTTATGGTGTTTGAAAGAATAAAAATAACCATTTAATATTCTATTTAAACTTTGATCATATTTCTATACGCAAAGTGAAAGTAAACTATTTTATCTCAATATAAAATATCACAAAATTTTTCTGATCTTGAAAGTTATCTTGGAAATCAGAAAAGGTCAAAATATAAGCTTAAATGTGAAGAGGCTTTCCTTGTTTAGTAGATATTTAGAAGACATTTATGTCTATTCTTTTTCCTTTATAAAGAAAAAAAAAAGAGGTACTTGAGATTCAGGAAAGTGCTATTCAGAATCATGAGTGGATAGTTGCATGACCTTTGACCAATGATCATGGTTGTGGATCTTGTCATAACCGTCAGTGTACAGCAGTGGAGTGAGAGGTTAGCCTAGCCTTAGCTTTATTTTATTTTATTATTTTAAAGATTTATTTATTTCATTGCTTTATGTGTACGAGTGCTAAGCCTGCATGTATGTATGTGCACTGTGTGCATGCCTGGTGCCTACAAAGGTCAGAAGAGAATTTCGCATCCCCTTGGACTGGAGTTAAGGACATTGTGAACTGACACATGGGTGCTAGGAATCAATCCCGGGTTCTCTTACCACTGAGCCATCCCTCCAGCCTCCTGCCTTAGCGTTTATCAACTGCCTTTGTGGTACAGTCATGTCTTTGTTGCCCTAAAACATCTGTTGGAATAAAATTATTAAGCTACCTGCAAACTTGAGTATGATTTTAAAGCGTGGTTAAACCATTACATCCAGGCTGTCAGCCATCTGTTAGGTTGAAAGTTCATGAGTGATTTTGTTTGGTTAATGTTAATGTGTATTAAAATATTTTGTGATACTTTTATTACTTTTGTTTGGTTATTTATTATGTACTCAGAAATTTGATACTGAGAAAAGCTTGCCTAAAATCTCATCTTTTTTTTGTGTTTAGACCAAGATTAAAAAATGTGGATCGGAGTAGCGCCCAGCATTTGGAAGTCACTGTTGGAGATCTAACAGTCATTATTACAGACTTTAAGGAGAAAGCTAAGTCAGCGCCCGCCTCCAGTGCTGCTGCTGGGGATCAGCACAGCCAGAGCAGCTGCAGCTCTGACAACACGGAGCGGGGCGTGTCCAGGTCCTCCTCGCCTCGAGGGGAAGCCTCGTCCCTGAACGGAGAGTCTCACTAAACATTCTTGCTCCTCTTAGTCTCGCCTGTCCTCCCATGGAAATACAGATTATGCCAAGAACTACCACATTTTCATGACAGACACATTCATGCATAACCATAATTTGAGTTTTACATGAAATATGAATTTTTCCAGGACTTATTAGATTTTATCGCAGTGTAAGCTACCAAACATTTCCAGACTTAACGTTTTGGTCTCTGCTGTTAAATGCCATGAAAATGTGGTTGAATTATTCATTATGCAGTGTTACTGGTAAGTCTATTTTCACTTATAGTTCAGTGAATTCTAACACATAATTATTGAATTCTCTACTATTGGCATGTAATGAGTTTAAATTTTTTATTACATAGTGCAAGCTGCCTAAATATGTATTATTTGAGAATTGTGAAACAAATAGTTATATGTATGCAAGTCAGAGATCAACTTAATCAACTATTGCTGCAACAGGATTTTCTTAATGGTTATCCTCTTAATGCACCTGCTGGTACTTGGTGTGGTTAAATAGGAAAGTTGTTATTAAATAAAGAATTTGTATGAACCTTTGCCGATGTTTTTGACATGTTTTTACTAAATTATTGTTTCTGAGTTATGTTTTATCCATTTTTGCAGTTTTTATTTGTTAGTTTGCTTATTTTTCAAAGCATCAATTTATTGTAATGTTTACTAGCAGAATTGTAAACAATAAAACATGGATTGTTTAGCTTTCTAATTCAGGTTTAGTGCTATTGTCATTGAACACTGGTTTTTCCTGTATTCTCTAAGACATTAAAGTTAAGGAAGTATAAGCATCTGGCAGAAAGCGAAAAGAACTTGCCATACTTGGAATAGCTTTAACTTGATGATAGTTTATCACTGTTTCCTCGTTCCAAACCTAGCCACAGTCATAGACATGTGAATCTAATTAATATAAACATGGTAACTATTGCACAGAACTGGGAGGTTAATCTTAAATCAGTTTAATTGGCCTTTTGCTAAATATAACAACTCGTATGAAAACCATAGTACCCTAGTTCCAGATACAGCCTTCAATTTATGCATTTATCAGTATCTTGAAATAAAAAGTATCTACAGCCCCACTCACTTATGTACAATTTCCAATAAAATATTTTTTATGACTTCAGATTTTGCATTTTGTTTACAACTAAATGAAATGAAGTGTGTTACGTTGTATTTGAAAATCCATTTTAGAAACCGCATCCTACATCTTAAATTCTATTAAATTCTTTTGTTTTCTCTAGCCATTTGCTTAATATATATCTACCTATAGGGGGCTTCTGAAATGTAAATCAACCTAAAGACAAGACCTTACTTGAATATAACCTATCACATAAAACATGCCATGATAACGTTTGAAGGAAAAATAAAACTGTGGACCCTGAAAGTTGTGATATTTGGTTTCTCATGGTAATGTAACTCTGTTCAATTGCAGTACTTTTTATTGACACAGTGGTACTCTTGTAACATGCTAGTTGTGAATACAGTTTATTGCATACAGTAAAAGTCTGTGATGAAAACATTCAGATACCTCATTCTTTAGTGTTGCTAAATGAAGATGTAAAACTTGTTTTATTCTAAGATACTTCCAATGGGATACCAACTATCTGGCTATGTTCATTTCAAACATGTTATTTTTGCATTGTTTTTCATGTATAAATGTCTAGTATATCCAATTTTAAATACTTGTGATGGGGAAATACTCTAGTTCCTATGACAAAATAATGATCATATATTTTCATAAAAATATGTTTAATTTCTCTGCGAGAAAGAACAGATGAGAGGAGGTGAGGTGTTACCTGAGTAGGTTACACTCACCTGTTTGTGGGTGGAAGGCACAGTGGCGTGGAGAGTGAGTGCTGCTGTCTGCTGCTCCAGTCTCCTCTCGAGCAAACGAGAACATTCTCCAGCTTACTTCCCGTCTGTACACGGGGGTAACAACGGGGGTAACATATCTGATGAATGTGGGTCTAGCGAGCATTAAATGTTAACCCATGTAAGATTCTTAACATCTCTCTAACACACTGGTAAATGTGAGCCTTTACTATCATTATAGGTAAAATGCCATTAAAATACATTTTTATAACCACATTATCTTAATGCTTAATAATAATCTAAGAGAACAGTGTTGTCAATGTTTGCTCTGTTTCCAGAAAGACTGTCTCTCTATGACTGGAGACCCGAATCCTCTACACTATGAGACTGGAGAAATGAACTGTGCTATCTAGTGTGGCATTTTGTTTTCCTTTCATCTTCCTTTATTTCAGTCTACCTCAAATATACCTTCATATCAGGAAGACATGCAAATTCTATTAGTACATGCACTTAATGTTAAAATATGCAAGACTATTCAGAGCCAGGGCTTAGGGTATATTTGTAGCTGTTTGGTAAATTTGTAATATAGTTTCATTAGTGTATTCTTTTATATTTTTTGGATTATTTTATATGTATGAGTGTTTTGCTTGAATATGTATGTGTGTACCATGTGCATGCCTGGTGCCCACAGAGGTTGGAAGAGGGTTTTGGATTCCCTGGGAATGGAGTTACAGACAATTATATGCTCCTGTGTGGGTGCTGGTAATCAAACTCTTACAACTTTTTGTAAGATGGATGACTTAATGGCTTAAAGGCTTTAATTAAGGTTTAATTAAAGGCTTTATTAAGTGCTTTCCTAAAATTATAGTGGTAATAGACCAGGTGAAGCATAGTAATAGAAGAGATAAACTCAACTAAGTTGATGGCATATGTCAACTTTCTTTTAGGTGTAAATCCTCAGTGCCTGAAAGGATGTCCTTCTGTCATAGCGTGTACATTAATGGTAAACGACTGAGTTGCTTGTTAGGCTTTCTTGGCAGCTCACCTCTTTTTTGGAATCTTTGTAAGGATCTGATGTGGGAACTAGTCACAGAAAGGAACCTTGGCTGCGTGGTTTTACAGTGAAGTAAAAACCAGAATGTGTGTGAGAGGCAAGGAACGCAGTAAATAGTAACGCCCCGACTTCATGCTGTCCACCCTCTCCACCACCGCCAGCATGCAGAAGCCCGGAACAAAGAAGGCGACAAAGCTGTACGGAAAAATCAGAGACAGAAACGGCCAAAGGCAGGCAGTGAGAGGGGCGGAGAACAAGGACGTTACTGATGGTTTTCAAAATCAGAAGGCAAGGAGGGCTTCTGCCCGACCCCAAGAGGGACAGAAAGCAAGCTCTACTGACAGCAGAGGAAAGGAAGCGTTGGCCTGGAAGACAGTGAGACAGGAACAAAGGAAAGGGGCGGAAAGAGCGGCAGGGTGGCCAGGCTTCAGACTACACCTGCAGTATCCCAGTCTCTGGGGACATGTTAGTGACACGCAGTGCTGAGTCATCGTCATAATTAGTCATCAGTTTCCTCGGCACGTGCTCTTAAGTAGGGCAGCGCTGTGTTTAATAATTTAGAGTGGTTTTTCATCACGCCGGTTCACTGTAAGCTACTGCAGACAAGTTTTCTTCATGTGAATAATTTTCAGAACACACATAGCTACTAGCCCAGACGATTTAAATGTTAGGATTCCAGTGTACTAATTAGGCTTAGTCAGTGTAGATCATCCCGTCTCTATGAGCTGGGCCAATTCCTGACCATTTGAAATACTATGAGAAGACCAGATGCTTCACTGGAAAATGGAAGAGTTCTGGAAGGTGTCAGTATTTCGAGATGTTCCCTATGCTTTCTGTGTTGTGTGTGAGTGTGTGTGTGCGTAAAGTATGTTTGTGCAAGGGCTGCCAGTGTCATTCCCCAGAAGCTACCCACCAGGTTTTGTGGTTTTTAATTTTTAAAAAAAATTTTTTTAAATTTTTAATTAAAAAAAATTGTTTGAGACAGGGCCTCTCAATGTCTCCCTGGCTGTCCTGGAACTCACTGTCTCTGTACCAGGCTGGCCTTGAGCTCATGGACAAAGAGGTCTGCCTGCCGCTGTCTCCTAAGTGCTGGGATGATAGGTGTGTGCCTGTGTTTGTCTGGTTTTCTTTTATATGTATGTGTGCTCATGTACCGTGGTGTCAGATCCTCTGGGACTGGAGTTAACAGACAGTTGTAAACCACCATTTAAGTGCTGAGACTCGAACCTGGGTCCTCTGCAGGAGCAGTAAGATCAGCTCTTACCCACTGACTTTACTTTCTCGCCCCCTACCTTGTTTTTTTGAGTCAAGGTTTCTTAGAGGTCTGTAGCTACCAACTCGGCTAGGCTGGCTGACTAGTGAGCCCAAGGGACTGCTTGTCTCCACTGCCAATACTGAGTTACCAGTGTGGCTCACTGAATTTTTTCTTTTTCTTTCTTTCTTTCTTTCTTTTTTTATTTTTAGCTGTAGGTTCAGGAGATTCAAATGAATCCCCATCCATTCTCTCAGTACAAGCACCTTTTCACCTCAGCTCCCCGGCTCTACATTCTGCGTCTTTTCACAGGCCTCAGCTTACCATCCAGTACTTGCCTGAATTTTTCTGATCTAGATTTTTGTCACATCGGTATTATTTAGTTGAGGAAATTTATTAAATATATTTTGGCTTTTAGTTACTGTTACAAAGAGGCTAAAAAAATTCACATTTTTGAGATGTATAAATGCAGGTTATCCCTGTAACAATAAAAAAAATATAAGACACAGAAATAGGGGAAGGAGTGCCTGGAACCTTCTTCTGAGAAAATTCCCCTAGGCCTGAGACATCACTGCAAGTCTGCACTAGAGTGTTGGGCCTCATTTTGGTGCTTGTGGTTCCACACGTGTGACCAGTTGTTTGAACTAGCTGTGGTTTGTTACTCCAGCTTGGATTGTCAAAACTTTGCCCTTGTAAGCAATGTAATTTGAGAGGAATCATTTTCTTCTAATGTATTGACTATGTTTACTTTTATGCGTATGGTTATTTTGCCTGCATGTGTAGGTGCACACGCGTGCAGTGCCCGAGGAGGCCAGAGAGGCCGTTGGATCCCCTGGGACTGGAGGAATAGGTGGCTGAGAGTCAACATGTGGGTGCTGGAAACCAGACCCAGGTCCTCTGCAAGAACTGAGTTCTCTTACCCCCCTAGCCATTTTTCCCCTTAATTTTTGAAAGGAAGGTCTCATTTCTTTTTTTTGTGAAAGTATTGAAGAGAGCTACTGCATTACTGTCCAGTTAGAAATCTTACTCAGATTGATTTCAGCTAGTTTACTTCATCTGAGAAATCAGTTTGCCATTTTCTTGCAGGCAATTCAGATTGTTAATTGATTATTCTCAATTTTTGATAAGAAATTTTAGCTAAAATTGGCTGTTTTAATAATTTATGTAGGACTCAATGGTTGTCTATAGTCTAGCTTATTTTACATACATATATATATATGTTACCAATTCTGACTTTATGCATTTCTTTTGTTCTTTTAAACTGCCTCAACTCCCGGGGATAAATAGGATTTAAAGTTAGTAATTAAAAATATTTTTATGTGTGTGCTTATGTGTATGTCTGGGCACTCATGTGTGCCTGGAGCCTGTGGGGGTCAGAAGAGAGCGCTGGATCCCTTGTACCTGCACTGGAGCTACAGAGGCTTGTGAACCATCACGTGGGTGCTGGGACCTGAGCCCAGCCATCCCTCTGCAAGAGCAACAACTCTCGATCACTGAGCCGTCTCTCCAGCTCCTTTATACTAGTAATTAAAAATTGTTTTATTCCTAAGAGTGAGGATAAGGCAAAGGTAAACTTGGGGCAAGAATCTGGTGCCTCTGCTTCCTTTCCCTGCGGTTTCTGAGGAGTGACTCCCAGGGCCTGAGGTTGAATCTTTTCACCTGATGACTCGTAGAAGGAAGCGAGCTACCTTCTGGTCATCACCTTTCTGTGAACTTTTAATAGGAAAATTCAAAAGCTAAATTGAGGACCAAGGTTTAATAATTGGGGCTTCCCCCTGTGTGTTGTTCTCATTATTCCCTCCCTTTACTTCATAATTGTAGCAGCAATGAGATGGCCCCGTGCCTGCTTGAGGGTGGGGGAATTAAGCAAAAATGGGACTATCTGGACAGTAGGAAACTAGCTTGGGAGGATCGAGAAGCAAGGAAGACTAAAACAGTGAGCACGTCTTCACATGGAGCAAGTTGAGTTTTCAGAAACAAAGCACAGTGATAGCGTCAGGCCCAGGAGGGCTAACGTACAGAATAAAGAGGATATATCTAGTACCGAATGAGATAGTCTGAGGGATACTCAACTTTTTCTTGCTTTTGAGACAGGTTCAATCTCTGTAGCTGTCCTGGATCTTGCTGTGTTGACAAGGATGGCCTTGAATTCATAGAGATACCTGTCTCAGCCTTCCCATGGCTGGCACGCTTCACCACATCCAGCCAAATGTTTGTTTTTAATTTTGTACTTTGTTTGGAGACAGGGTCTTGTTTTATCACCCAGCTGGCCCGGACCTTGTAAACCTCCCATTTCAGCTTCTGCAATGCTAATAATAGAGGTGTGCACTCCCACAGATAGCTAAGAATCATTTTCTCTTTATTAAAATACTGATATGTCGATATGAAAAGAATATGGGGGAACAGAGGCAGTGATGCACACCTGTAACCCTAGCCAGCACTTGGGAGGCTTGGGCAAGAGGATTTCTCCGGTAGGATTGCTTTTTTCTTTTCAAATAAACACAGAGAAGGAAATAATAGACAGGACTGTATACATATTTGAGTGGCTGAAGAGAGGGCTGAATGGAAAGAACGAGAGGAGAGAACACCAACATTTAAAACTGTTTTTAATTATGTGTGTGTGTGTGTGTGTGTGTGTGTGTCTGTGTGCATGTGAAGTCCAGAAGAGGGTACGAGGTCCCCTGAAACTGGAATTACAGGTGGTTGTGAGCTGCCCAAAATGGGTACTGGGAACAGAATGCAAGAACAGTATGAACTCAACCTCTGAGTCATCTTTCTTCTAAAATAGAAGTCGTAAAATTTGGTGCAAGTCCACAGTCTGTTTTCTATCTCCGAGATCTTTTGTGTAGTTCTAGAAAAAAGAAAACTTAACAAATTACCACTTTCAAATTTCATTTTCTGTCCTTGCCTACAGTATTAGCACCTCAAATATGCCTAATTTTAAATTTCATTTTCTTCACTCACATTTGTTCTTTTGAGTTGAATTTGGATTTTTGAAGCGTGTCACTGGAAAGTTAAAGATCCTTGTTCTAGAGATAGAGTTGGAACACATGCATACAGTAAATGAAAGAAATCCACTTGATGTTCAAATGGGTAAAGTTGTTTTCAGTAACAAAAGTCAGTTTTGGAATATAAAAATGTAGTGAGTGAATCCTGGCCAGTGACTCCTACCCTTTCCAGCTAACCAGGACTTGGTGTGTAGGTGTATAAAGGTTTTTATTTTTAGAAGGAACTTAAAAGATGCCATGGCATCGTCTTGAACCCCTGTGTCAAGCACATGATTATTCTGGATGCTATAGATTGTTGGCTGCCTTCCCTTTATAGTGTTCCATGGCTTTAACAATCTGAGTCAAGAGATCACTCCTCATTTTTCCCACATGTAGTTTCTTCTTGGGGGAAAAAAAAAGCTGTTCTTACCAACCTTTTTTCTTTCTTTCTTTCTTTTTTTCCTTTTTTAAAATGGGGCCACACTCTGTAGCCCAGTTTGATCTGGAACTCACTATGTTGACTAGGCTGGCCTTGAGTTTATGGCAGCACCCCTCTCTCTGCCTCCAGGGTGCAGGAATTACATATGCAAATCGTCAAGCCAGCTCTACTGGCTTGGGTACTCTAGCTAGTACCACCACATCCTCCCATTTTCCAATCTCGTTAGTGCCCTTGTAATTTTCTGTACTTTTAAAAACCTTTATTTCTCTAAGAATTGTAAGGTGTATTAGAAAGATGTAGTACTTTCTGCGTTTTTACTGGCCTGTCTCCCTTTTGAGGGCAGGACACTCCTTTTATTCCTGAATACTGTGCATCTGAGCCTCTTATCTGGCATGTAGAAAATATGCAATAAATATTTATTGAATGAACAAATGTATGCTTTCTTTGTCTTCACATATCTTGACAGTTCACTGGATTTCTTTTTTATTTTTTTAGGTAAGGCAAGAAGTTTAATCCTTAAAGCGAGGAAACAGCCCACGGTTCATCTAGTGACTCCCCATGGTTGCAGAGCCAGCTTTTGGTGTGGGGATTGAAAGCTGCTGTGCCCACACATTGTCTTTTGTGGACAAACTTCTCAGTGACCCAGATGCAACTTGAACAATTCAATAGTGTGGTTTTTCTCATGCAGTGTATGTGTATGTGTGTGTGTGTGTGTGTGTGTGTGTGTATTTTAAGCATGTTTTTAAGGATGCATGCATTTTAAGTGTATGCTTTTAAGTGTGTGTCTATATATTTTAAATGTGTGCATTTTCCCTGTATTTTTTAAATGTTTGTGTTTTAAGTGTGTGCATTTCTATGTGTGCATTTTAAAGTATTTAGCTATTTAAATGTGTTATTTAAGTGTGTGTTTAAATGTATTTTTGTGTGCATTTAAAGTACATTTTAAAGTGTGTGTTTAAGCCTCAATTTTGGCTCTGAATCCACTTTCTCCAATCTCTGTTCCAACCTTCACTGCAGCCAGAATTGCTCTCTAAAATGCAAATGTGATCATGTTACTTCCTTCCTTAAAAAAGCCTTCACGCAGATCAAGTTCAAACTCCCAGGAGTTTGCTGAGGCAAGGCACTGTAACTGCTATCCTTCTCTGCAGTCTTATCACACTCCTCGGGTCCACTCTTGCATTCACTTATCTTGGCATCACACTTCTCACAGTCTCCTGAATACAAGAGCTGGTTTCATTGCTCACTCGGTCTAGAATTCCCTCCCTTACTCAGGCCACCCTTGCTAAGAAATCTCCACTATACAGGAAGGCACAACTGACTGAACTTTTGGGCGTGTCCAAAACCTTACAGATGGCTATCCTGTCCGTGTAAAACAGCCCTTTTCGAAAGGGAATAAGAGAATTTATTCTGAGCCAATTGAGTGACCTGTGCATGGCGGCGGCAGGGAAATGGGGGGTGAGGGGGAACGTGGATTCAGGTTACCTGGAATAACATGTTCTGACATTGAAGCATTTACATTATACTAACAGAATAAAAGAAAGTCAGAAGTTAAAGCATTTTTCAGACACCGGTTGGATCACCAGGTTGATGATTAGCAAACTAAGGAAAAACTGACAGATTTTAGATCTTTAACTGATGATATTCTTAGGTTTCCAACTGGTGGAAACCAGGGGTACACTGGTTTTGAGTCATGAGGATGTTAGGTCAGGCACGGGTGCTCCACGAATGCTTTATTCAAGGACTAAAGATATCTAAGAATAATCATGAAGTTTAAGCTAGTCATTTTGCCTTGTAAAATCGCCACCGCAGGTCTCCCGCATCGGCAGGCGTACTGGAGGTGCACATGCTCGCCGAATGAATGCTCGGCGTGGAAGCAGCTGAGGAAGTCGGGGGAGGAGGAGGAAGGGAGGCTCCGTGGGGAGACCACCAATTTTGCTTTGGGTACGCAAATGAGTTTGTAAGCAAAGTCCAAAAACGTAAAAAGGTAGGACCCCTGCCTCCCAGCCTGTTGTGTGGAGGGGCAGGAGCAGGCAGAGCGGCCAGAACTACCGCCGCATGAAGAGGCCGCACGAAGCACAGACGATCTAGACCCGAGGCTGAGGTCCGTGGGGAGCAGGATGGGGCGAGGAAGAGCTAGCGAGTGCGGAAAACCACGTTGTCTTTTTAATCACGCAGCGATTATCTTACAATTCAAGCTGCACAGCGTCACAAACCACGCAGTGGGAAGAGTCGCAGATTTAGGTCAAGGGCCTGGAGCCCCGTTCCTTTCGCTACACCTCTCCGCAGCTCAGAGCTGGACAACCTCTAAGGAGGCGCCAGCGTCCATCTCCGGACTCTGCGCGGTGGCCGGGCCCGCTCCTCGGTGCAAGTTCGCTTCCGGAAGCGCGGCCCAGCCAGCGGGGGCCGGGAGTTGGGGCGTGGCGCAGAGGCGGGACTCGGAGAGACTAGGGGGCGTGGCGGGACGCAGAGGCGGGGATAGGGGCGTGGCAGACAGCGGAGGCGGGGGTGGGGGCGTGGCACGACAAGATAAGGGGCGTGGCGTGAGGGGGCAGGGCTTGGGGCGGGGCGGGGCGGAGTGGGACCTGGCGGGGATTGGGAGGAGGGGCGGGGCGGGGCGGGAACCGGGCTGGTCACCCTGCGGCTGCGCGTTGGGGCTCCTCGCAGTTCGCCCGGGCGGGCACGGCGACGGCGGGGCGGCGGTGACGGCGGCGGAGGCGGCGGCGGGGGCGGTAGCGCGGGCCGGGATGCGGCGCTACCTGCGGGTCGTAGGGCTGTGCCTGGCCTGCGGCTTCTGCTCGCTGCTGTACGCCTTCAGCCAGCTCGCAGTGTCCCTGGAGGAAGGAGCGGCCGGAGGACGCAGGCCGCAGGCCGCGGCGATGGTTTCCTGGCTGGCGGACGGCGAACGCGGCGGCCCCGGGAGAGGCGCGGGCAGCGCGGGCTCGGGCCGGCCGGGCAGGTACGGGCCGCAGTGCCGGGCGCGGGGCTTTGGGAGTCCGCGGGGCGGGACGCGCCGCTCCCACCACCGAGCACTTTCTGTTTGGCTTCAGACCCAGTGTTTAGAGCAGTTAGAAATTGAATTGATTTGCAACTTTCTAAAAGGCTCGTTGGAAGTAAGGGGTGGCCCACAAAAATCCTGATTACAGTGCGGCTAGTGGGAATTCCCTCCCGTTTCCATGGAGTTGAAGCTGAGCTATTTAAGAATCAGGCTGGCGCCCTTGTTGAGTCCCCCCCACTTCCCAGGTGCCTGAATTTTCATCCTAAATCTTAGCATTTTCATCAGCAGCCGTGGTGGTTAGATAAATCTAGCCGAGGCGTAAAGCGTGCTATGAATTTTTGTTTTGGAAAATACTCGGTTTATCCGGAAACTTAAAGGAAGTTCAGAAACAGGAACGATACTTAATATGCTCATATTTTATGGGAGGGGTGGAATGAAGATATCACTCTTTTAAAAACTGGATATTTATGACACAGCATAATGATTTGGTGGATTTGCATAAATCACTGCCAGGGTTAGAATTATGAAATTTAAATGGAAAACTGTATTGGCAGTGCACTTAACAGTCTGAGTGTTTCGCACTGCCTTGAGGGGTACCTGTATTTTTGGACAATTCTGAGACCAACATATTGGAGAATAGAAGACTGGGAGGGGATTGTGAAAAGTACTATCCGCTTCGAGCTGTTGTGTAGCCTCTGAGAGTTGATGGCCACTTCCAGAGGGAAGGGGGTACAAACGAAAAGCAGCATGGGCATTGGGAGTTACTGTTTTATGATTTGATTGTAGTCAGAGAAATGTGGGATCTAGGTATATCCTCAGGCTTATTCTCAATATTTTCCATTGTCCACATCTTTAAAAAAGTATTAATTGCCCAGAATTACGTAACAAGAAGTTCTTGGAGTGTGTGTGTGTGTGTGGGGAATCTTTCCAACTCCATAAAGTAAAACTTTTTAAATGGTAAGAATAGTATTTCAGAGAAATCTTTTCTCCATTAGTGTATACTATTTGAAACGATTATGTCAGGCCAGGCTTGGTGGCCCACACCTGTATTCTCAGCCCTCAGGAGGTGAGGCAGGAGGATGGAAAATTCAGTGCCAGTCTGGTTTTCATAGTGAGTTCCAGGCCAGCCTTGGCCTCCATAGTGAGATGTAGTGGGTGGCCATTCCAGCTTTGGTCTGGAAGTTCCAACCCCCATTGAGGTTCTGATAACTATCACGCCTGCCTACATAGTGAGACCCAGGTTCAACAGACCAAGGGCTGGCTACGTACCCCAGGGGTGAAGGGCTTGGGCGCCAGGTGCTGACTTCCTCCCTCCAGGGTTTTAGTAGACAGAGACTGCGTTACGTTTTAGCTAAAGACAAACCTGTGCCCTCTGTCTCACAACTGGTGCAGGATCCCTCGACCACCTTGTTACTTGGTTGTGTATTCATTTCTCTACTATAAAATGTAGATAATAAATTTTCAGCCACGCTTGGGGTATAATCGACAGATAAAAGTTGTGTGTATTTAATCCTGACAACTTGGTGTTTCGGTGCCCATTCAGAGATGATTGTCACTTCCTCCTTTTCAGATTGGCTGGACATCAAGTTCATTTTTTTGCTGAATACTATCGACACTGGTGGGGGTACCCTGGGAATTTAAACCCTGGGAAGAGTGAGGCTTTTGAGTCCTGGACTTGACCTCCGACACATCCGGGCGGTGTTGACTTCCTCATTAGATAGGGGCCATTTGTGAGGATTGCATCAATAGTTACATGGATTACTTGGCATGGTACCTGGCACAGTAAAACTGTAGCCAGTATGGTGATTGTTTTAATTTTAAAGTGTAAGCCCCCCCTTTTTTCCCCTCTTTCTTTTTCCTTTTCTTTTTTTTTTTACTTTGAGGAAAAATTCTGTTCTCTGGGACCCAGTAAGAAACCTGCTATACTAGAAGACTTGACAGTGAATTCCAGGAACCTGTGTTTGAACCATAGGCTGTTATCAAGATTCGAATACACAGTGAGAACCACTGATACAGTTGAGAGATTTGATCATTATTTTTGCAATACTGTTTTCCCCTCCTCCCCCGAATCTGACTTTGAAGGAGAGGGGGATGGGGCATTGAACACCAGAGAAAAGTTGAAATCCCCTTACTCCGCCTTATAAATGAGGTGTGTAACACCAGTGCCACACCTTGTGTTTTAGTAGTGGTATTGACTTCACATCTTTATTGAGTGTTATCTGGGCTGCTATAGCCAAACTCTTCTGACTGGATTGATTGGGAATGGCAGGAGTCATTTATTTCTTACACCTTCTTTCTGTGTTCTCACATAGCCAGAGCCTCTTTCACATGGCCAGTAATGTCATTCTAGGGGCACTGCCCTCTGTTCTAGTCACCAAAGGCCTGGGCACCCCGACATCAGTTTTCACATCAAAGATAATTTTTTGGTGATGGAGGGGGGGCATATACAAACAGTCCACATACTTAGCATAATATTTAATAAAAGCTAGTGATTAATATGTGCCTTTGGAGATACTCGTTTGACTAAAAGGTGTACTTTTAGCTGAGTTTTTTTGTTTTGTTTTTGGCTTTTCGAGATAGGCTTTCTCTTTTTAGCCTTGCTTGTCCTAGAACTCTGTACCCGAGTGCTGGGATCAAAGGCCACCACTGTCCCCTGGTTTAGAGATTTTATTCTAAATATTAAACACTGTTACCCATGTTATGTCTGTTGAAATTCTTTTCCTTGAATAATAACTTAAGTTTTGTTTGGAAAGTATGTTGCATGAATTTTAAAATTTTTGTTTTCAGGTTGGCTATTTTTTTTTTCATTTTTTAAATCTTCATTATGCACAGAACAACTTTTGTTCCAGAGTTCCTTCTCCCACACATTTTTTTAAAAAGCATTTAAATCTGTAATCTAGATTTACTTTTTGTCAAAGGAAGAGAGTGTTCTGTGATCACTTTTGTAGCCGGAAGTTTCTCTGCTCCTACCTGGCCCTGGGTGGGTTGGGACTAATTTCTCCCACCTGAGTCCCACAGCCACTTGGTCCCAAGTAAACACACAAAGGCTTATGTTAATTACAAACTGTATGGCCTATGGATCAGGCTTCTTGATAGCTAGCTCTTATAACTTAACTCAACCCATTTCTGTTAATCTATATGTGCCAAGTGGCCGTGACATTACCAGTCAACTGTCATCTTATTGCTCCTTGGGTGGTGGGCTGTCGTCTCCCCGACTCCACCTTTCTTAGTCTCCTCTTCAGTTCGAATGTACCCCCTAACTTTATCCTGCCCTGCCATAGGCCAATGCAGCTGTATTTATCAACCATTCAGAGCAACACATATTCACAGCATACAGAAAGACATCCCACAGCACACTTCTGAGGTAGTGAGACAATTGTTTCAGGATCATCTGCATGTGTAACTGCCCTTTCCTCACTTTCTGAGTGGTCATGAAATTAGAGACCTAAGATGGGAGGATCTGATGGAGAGCTAGAAGCTAAGTGGTCTAGATGCAAAGCACTTGCAGGTGAGTTGCCCGGGCAGATTGCAGAGCCCAATAACTTGCCCATATTCTGAGAATAATCTCCTCTAACAGGCTGGAATTGTGGTCTCTTGCATGTCACAGGTGCCCATGGTTTGGGATTGTCTTGTTATTGTATTGTTGCCTCGTAGCCCTGCGCTCAGCCCTGCACATTCTTACAGTGGATTTGCCTGAAAATTTCCTTGACTCTTTATAGAGTAAGGAAAACTTATGTTGTATATAAATTTTACAGAAGTCTTGTGATTATTTTGGACATTTTGAAATGAAAACAAACAAACAGACCATTTTTAGTTTAATTAATACAGAAGACTGTTGTGTCCTCCATGGCTTGGTCCTGGAAACCTGACTGGAGGTGTGAGGGAATGAAGAAAGGACAGACCCACAGACACGTACAGAAAAGCTGGGGGCCCGAGGGGATGTGTCCTCTGATGGAGGGGGACCACGGCGCACAGGAAAGAGTTATCCGGGAGCGGTGCCTGTAGTGGGTGTCTGTAGTGGACAATTCATAGGCCGTAAACGTCAGGGAGGGGGAAGCTGCAAGCAGCTGGTAGTTTTGCACACACTGGTCAGTTACACCTGTCTACACGGTCAGTAATCACACCGGGGCCAGAGGGAGGCTTTGTTGACCCTCTGAGCCTCGTGGGGGTGGGTGTGAGGGGGAGAGCCTTTGCGGTTCCCAGGGTCTGAGGCATGGGGTCCTTGACATGTCAATGATTGACGTTCACTCAGGACTTCCTCTGCTCTTTGCGTAGTCACTCAGGGTCTCCTCAGCACCCCACAGAAGACATCTTGGATTTAAATCTGCCTCAAGTTTGAGAGGTGTTGCTGTGGAGAGCATATTGTTAAGTGCTTTTGCTGCTGTTGGTGTCTGTCTTTGGCACGGTCTCACTGTAACCCACACCAGCCTTCAACTCCTAGACTCAGATTCTCCTGTTTCAGCCTCCCACGTGGCTAATACCACACTTTTGTTCTGTTTTGAACCCCGGCTGTCCTGGAGCTCTGGGCGGTCACCTGCCTCTGCCTTTGCATGCTGGATGAAGGTAATGCACCACCACCATCCAGTCCGGCTCTATGCTCTTTTAAATGCAGAGAATGAAATGTCCTTTTTAAAAAGATGCGTTCTTTTTTATTTTATGTGTATGAGTGGCTTGTCTTCATGTGTGTTGTGCACCACATACATGCCTGCTGCCCTCAGGCCATAAGGGGGTTAGATTCCCCGGAGAGTTGAGCTGCAGATGAGCCCGGGTCCTCTGGAAGAGCAGCCGGGTGCTTTTCATCGTGGAACCATCTCTCCAGCCTCTTGTGTTTATTCTTTTTTGAGACAGGGTTTCCGTGTAGCATAAGCTGCCTTAAACTTTCCACCTCAGCCTTCCGAGTGCTAGGATTGCAGGTGTGTGCCACAGTCCCAGAGTGTAATTTTGAAAAATTTATAACTACT